GATTACCCTTGGAGTACGATTCTTTGCTAGAGTACGATAATACAAGAAGTACCGTCCTGTTTACAGTAGTGTTGTGTGGATAATACTTCCATTTGAACAGGATATTCGCTGAAGGAATATTCATGACTTGGAGTACTGTTATGGGGACACTACAGATCTATGTATAGTACTCATATCTAAAGATGCCTAATATGACTGGTACGACGATATTTGATGAGTGGCAAAGTTAATCCCGTATTATTAAGTAAAGTAAGGGGGGGTGTAGAATTCATGACTTAGCTTTGTGCCGTATGAGGACGGCCAACCGTTACGCAACGTGTGGAAGTTCCCGTAGTAACTCCGTATGGCAGGTACACTTCTGTGGGACACATGAATGTGTGAATTGCACGATTATTTGAAGAACACTGATGTTATGTACAGAATAGTTTGTCCTGATGACAACAACTGTCCTTGGAATACCATTATTTGAAGGGTCTTCATGTTAGTTTAATGGCTGGATGATATGACTTGGGCCATTCTGCAGATCCGACATGTGGGCTACAATCATTTTGTCTAAACAGAAGAGCTATGCCAAGGCTACTATAATGTGAACCGTATTATTGTGTCAAGAATACTGATATTCGAGGTGTGTCATTTTTTGTAGGGTAATATTCTATGAAGTACATGCATATTCTACAAGGGTAAATGACAAGGAAGTATACAGGTGTCCCCATTTCCCATGTTGACGAATGCGGAGATTCTTGTAGTACTGTTATATCAATGTATTAATGGTTGATCTATACTGATATCTGCAAAGTACTGTTCATTTAAGGGCATAATTGTATAAAACGTACGGATGATCTGCGCCGCAGTCAAGTGAGTGTACTCATATCTCCCTAGGGTGATTTCTCGGAGTGCACAATTGTGGTGGGATTCTGGATACCCCCCATGCACAATTATTAAAAGAGGTGGGACATCATGGCCTATTGTTTAGGCTTCTATTATAGGCAAAGCACCATATTCCGGAATTCATAGCACTCCCTGGAGTGTTGTTATATTAACAGCGGTATAATGTGTGGAACTGCATGATTGGGGGAGTATCGCTCGAGCAAGTGTACACATATTCGGGAAGGAGTATTGTCTAAGAATTACTTATTCGCTCCCAATGGTAACATTCCCAGAGTACTATTATGTGAATGGTGGGGATGTTTGCGAAGTATTCAGATATTAGGAATAGCATTGTGAAGTGAATAATACTGTACAAGGAGTACTATGATTTAAAGTGTATGAACATGCATGCCGTATCGTTAACTTTATCCGTTGTCCCTGGCAAGGATGGTAATGTATAAAGGATAACACTGTATGAAGTAAATAGATATACGTGGTGTATTATTATATGGAGGGTAGAATCATATAACGTGTACAGATGTGCGTAAAGGGTCAATAGTGGTAAAAAGTACATCTGTATCAAGAATACGATTGTATAGATTTACAGGTTATGCGGTCATTATAGAAAGGAGAAGATTTTTTGAAACTATCAACCCCCTTGTTGTACATTCATTTGAAAGAAATTATTGTCCTTGCATTCATATGATATGTAGACAGCATGGAAAATGAGAAATGGCATTCGGTGGAGTGCAATGATATTCAAAATACAGTATTGTATGAAGGATACGGATATTCTGAAGAACCGTCCTTTGAAAGATAAGGATTTTCCTACAATATGCCCATCGAAAATGAAAAAGTGTGTGAATTGCGGGCTATGTGTTCCAAATTTCGGTTCCTATTCTTTGGGCGAAACCAGTCATTGATGAGTATAGATCTCTATGAAATGGTATTATGTGAAGAATTGAGGGCTACATTCTAAAGAAAAGAACAAGTCATTAATTACGCGCAGGTGCAACCGCTATAACTTTGTCGAATGTATTATTGCCGGTGTAATACAATAGAGGCAGAAATATTTGCATATGGACAATGCAAGGATTCTAGCGGATATGTTGTTTGTAATGTACAGTGTCGCAGGAATGCTTTTATGTGAAGGCCTCATAACATAGCGTTCTAGATACCACTAATTGGAGAACGTGACTAATTGAGGAATAATGATTTATGTGTAGTATTATTTAAAGAATATCGCTCCCCCCAGGACTACGGGCCTGTGGAATGTACGCTTAGCATACAGTCCTATTATATGAACCATGCGTCTATACCTCCAGTATTATTTTGTGTACTGTATACATGTCTCCTGAATATTATTCTGCACCAGGGTCATATTTTACAGTTTTTTTATTTGGAGACTATTATTAGCTGAAGATAACACATCTCGATGGGGAACAATGATATCAGGGACATAATCGTGCGGGTTCTATGACTGGAATACGTTTATATGGAGAAGTCAGGCCAACGGGTGCTATTATTTGAAGAATAGAATGGGGCGAAGGATATACACTTCCTTGGAAGACTAATATATAAGGAATACATTTTTCGCGACCATTATTAAGTATGTGAGAGGGAGACATTTCTCTAGAGTATCACTGCATAAACAGTAGGAGAATCCCCAGAGTCCCTATTGTGGAGTCGTCAAGATTTAAAGCAGGAAGCACCATAATTTAAAAACAGATATTTCGTAAGAGATAATAGAGTGGATGCAGCGATATTCTTGGATGGGTTCCAATCACTAAGCATTACACATATATAGAAAATACAAGATGCCTGCGGAATATTTGTATTAACTGTAAGAATCGGCCTTACAACAAATGTTTAGAGGATAATCCTCTGTCAAGGGTAATATTCTATGTAGAACAGTGCTGTGTGAGGAGGAAAATTGTTTAAGAAAATACAAAGGTTTGGAGAGTTGAATTCCATGGGGAGGACGGCAGTTGTAAAGATCATACCATTTCACCAATACACTGGCTTATAAGATACTTCCATTCCAGGAATACTCATATACCAATTCTAAGGCTATTCATGCTGTATAGGAAACTGAGGGATACTATAACTAAAAGGGGTTTCAACATACCAAGGATGGTTATATATAGGAAGACCTTTTTATAGGCGAAGTAACACTATAAGTAAAGTAATACGTCGTGAACTGTGATTATTCCCTCTCAATATTATTGTAATATAGATTCAATAATTATCCGGGTACTATTAAGGAACAATGATTACGGAAAAGTTGCACACCTGCTTTAATCTGTAGTATTTTCCTCTTAAGGGAACTCGAGATCGATGCGGTACTATTAAAATATGACAATTATGTGAAATGAAAGATTAAGCTTCTTACACTCTAGAGAGGGATAGGAAATTATAAGAAGGAGTATTAATATAAGAAACGAGGTGTCTCTCGTGAAGAGTTAAGAATAATAATAAAATAAAACAAGGGAAGGGGATAAAATGACCCTAAAAATAAGAATACACATAAGGTATTAAAGAATCATTAATCTGAAAGGAGGAGGAGCAAGCATATAGGCCCGGATCACTATAATAGAATGCATATACGAATCCAACTGACATATTTGAGAAAATTATCTACTTCAAGAAACTAAGAGAGATATATGTAACACCATATAAATACACCACAAGCCAGTGGGCATATCAACATGATGATCAAAATGGAAATGCCTAAAAGGAAAGGTAGATAATTAATACATACAGCAGAGACAATACAAGAAGAAAGGATAAAAGGAAAGATGCTCAGGGGATGAAGATTAGACACTACACCCAAAGGATAGAACCAAGAAACACAGTAGGGGTGACGCCTAAGGGATAATGTGAGCAACAGATCCTTCCCTCTGACAAAATAGATATATGAAATCGAGGGTTTCATGTTTTCTAACATATAAACAAAAGAATAGTGACAGATAATATCTTGAATCTGTGCTGAGTTCATGGAATATAATAAGTCGTACAATAACTTCACTTTAGTATGTATCTAACACTATAGATGATGATATACAAGGCGTTTCATTGTTCACCACGGGAGGATGTAGAATGTTAAGTGGTATTCATAACCCCTCTTATGAATAAGGGAGTATAAGCCTATACAATGAATACATTCCCCTATTGACATAAAGACATGGCCTATAAAGGAGTCTTACACCACCATAGAGTTATGAGGTTCTTCTGAAAAATGAGAAGAAGTGAATAAATACATCATCCTTTTGGCAGTGATATGGTTTTTATATGAGTTTTAAGTGTAATGCTATATGGGCATATAAGCAGTAATAGAAAAGTTCCCTTCCTTAATAATGAGTAAAAGAGTTTTATAAACATATTGTGTGTTATTCCACGTGATTAATTGACAACAATTTTAGAAATGATTGGTGAAGCATTGTCAGAACCATCTGAATACACAGCTAACTCCTTAAGTTTACAAGAATTATCCTAATAGATCTTTACCCCCCACAGAAAAGAGACGTCGATGTTTAAATAGCCGGATAAGAAGTGTTGTGGATTATATGATAATTTCTTTGCTATAGGGAATAACATGAAAGTTGATATAGGAGATACCCTCAACACCTGACCACCAGTGAACAGGAAGAGGAAATATCAAAACGGGACAAGCAATCCTAGAGTGATTGAAGATTTCCTGAGAGGAAATAATCTATATTATGGACGAAATGTGGAACCCCAGGAAGACTCCCACCAGGACCCCCCCACGCCGGGAGCGAATATGCACATTGCGAAATGATAAGATACAATTGAGGATAGTGGTCATCAGGTGCAAGAGACTAATGTGAATCCGGGAGCAGACCAACCCAACAGAAATCTAGGCTATTGGGCACCAAACCGAAAAAAAACAAAACAGATGTATCCCCAAGGGGAGGTTTAATGAAACCAATACAAAGCTGCGAAGTCTCTGAGCGAGAATCCTACACAGATTTTTGGGGAAGTCGCTATACAGTAAATAGTGGAGGGGAGAAGCAGGAGAAAGCGGAAAGCAAGAATATGAGCGATGAACCGGTAGTAGGCAACAGCGGACCAAGACAATATTCAACTTTCCCCGCAAGTATGACTATAGGAGAAGAATCAATATGAACAGTAAAAAGTTCTATTTTAGAGCTATTCTCCAGGAGATAGGAAGACAACAGGAGAAAACTGAGGAGCAAGAGGCACAAAATAGCAAAGTGCAAAATAATTCATCCGAGAACTATAAAAGTGGCAGCAACTGCACAATTCACTGAGTGGGACGAAGCCGGAAGCCGAGAATGAGCAACAATACTTAGAATTATATATGATAATGACCCCAGCGACTCAGAGGCATCAACCAAAGGGTACCTGTGCAGATACACTAAGGATGAAGAAGATAACTGTGTTAAGGTAAGATGTACAAGGCCAGAATCCCCTCAGATGTGGACTGAATAGCGATAAATATCTATAATGTAGAACATTAGACAGAATCCAATGAGCAATAGATGAAGAAATTATAGAGTATAAGGGTAATGAAGAGGCGAAACCCCAAAGGAAAAAAGGCCCATTGGAAAAACAGAAGGAGCAAGAAATAGCCAGCAAAAATAGAACAGGCCGAGAAAGGATTTCAATATAACTGACAGGAAAAACCAGGAGTTTGGAGACAAATTGGGCGACTGAAACCAGACACTAATAGGCACGGGGGCGAGTCCCAGGAGGAGTACGCAGTTGAAAAGAACGAGGAAGACTAGCGAACGGAATCCCAGGACACAGGAACAACAAGATGCCATAGGAACAGGCGACAAAGCGCGTACCCCCAGACGGAGGATTAAATAAGATAAAAACAGCCGCGTTAATTAACTAACATATTATTCGAAAGTGGCACTCAATCCCGATGGGAGCAAGAGCAAGTATGTCGATTAGGAATTGGGGTTTCCATTGGGAGAATGGAGATGACGACATCTTAGGAATCAGTCTACAGATCCCTGGAAACAACTGGGTTAAAACTGGAGTATGACCGCGTACGAGTGGGGAGTCTAAGAATGTGATCTTAGAAAAGAGAACACAATTTCACAGGCGCTTACTACAACAAGAGATAAACGCAAAAAGGAGTCCCGAAACGGGCGAAGGGAAGAGCTTACACCACAGGCAGATGAAACAGGGTAAGGCGAGCAGATAATACGAGGAATATATTTTAGCGAATGCAACAATATAAAACCGAAGAATTGACACCATCTCGTGCTCCAATTTAGGCCGATATCTGTGGAGGCACCCACCTAGCAGAGAAATGAAGAAAGCATACGAAGGTATCTCTTGTCTGTGAGCCGAAAAGCGAAGCAGAGCGTGGCAAGCTAAGTCACAACGAAACGGAATAGGACACCCTAGGAAGGAGTAGACTCCGAACAGAGAAGAGAATCCACAATAAACAGGACAGAGAACAGGGAATAGATTTATCTATAGTCTGACCTAAGAGAGAGAAAGAATCGGAAGCAGAAGGAGGAGTAATAAGGAGGTATCAGTACTCCCGGAATTGTGGATCCGAGGCGGAAGGGTGCCAGGCCAGACAAAAGAGGGGAGCCAAAGGAATAGGCAGTACATGCTGTACTTGAATAATAAAGGAAACCAAGAAAGACCATTCTTGAAGCAAATCTGACAAGACTGTCTCTCGAGTTAACTAGACAAGAGCCAGGAAGGAGGAGAGTATGGACAAAACCCAAACCAACTGTCGAAGGAGTCCTCCGTCCAAGGGAATAGAAGGACGCCGCGCAACTTAAGGAGCACTCCCAACCCCCACATCAGAAGTCATTCAGACAGGAGAGAACACCTAGGATTCCAATGAAGAGGATAAACCCAAATTTACTAAGAGAAAAGTGGGGAATGAATGAACAAAAGAACAGAAGATTACTCAGGGAGGGTGTGCAAATTATAGATTAACTTTAGGCAGAGGTGAAGACAAAACCCCCGGAGGCAAATCTCTGGGGCAAGCGGAATCTAGAGAGCGGGCAAACATCAGGAGATTAAGAGAAGTAATGAATACTTCATGGACCTATATCGATTATCCAGATAAGCCATAATAGTTTCAACTCCCCTAAGGACCGAGGCAGTCGATGAGATGTCGGAGCACCCAAATTCAAATAACTCTTTTGATAGGAATGGACGGAAAACTCCAGAAACGTCCAAAAATCCAACAGGTCGGGGGGGAGGGAAGGATTCGGGAACAACTATCCAAAGCGTATGATCTCACAGATGAGACAAATCAGGCCGAAAACAGCCTACTATTCTGACATGGGGTCAATGTATGTCTAACTCATAAGACGAATCAAACTACTAATGAGAACGAGAGAGCAATGATCACCGGCATCAGCAGAGGAAAGAGTCGGGGAGGAAACCTGTAGAAATAGGAATATCAAATAGCCATCTCATTAGAGCAAGGAGAAGCGTCCCCCAGAAGGAATTCTATAGGAGGTTGCTCAAAGTCGGAGCCAGAGGAATCCTAGCCAGGGTACCATGCACCAGGAGCTGCCTGAAACAAATGACTTAAACGCAGTAAAGTGCGGGTCCGTGCGCTAAACAAGTCGTCTCAGGGACCAAAAAAGGAGGACCTAAATATAAGACCGGCAACAGATCACTCCACCACAGATCCTTAAGGATACAAGTGGAACGGGAAAATGCGAGAACAACGTGAAGTCCAACACCCCAAGGAAAGTTTAGGATGCCAAGGTGTTAACCCATGTGAGGAACTTCCTTAGACCAGTAGTCTAGAGGGTGGATTAAGGAAGTTTAGAACCATGAGCTCCTGAAACAGCAGATGACAAGAGGATAACTGAGGAGTCCCCCCCACGTCGGCTACACATTAGATCAGTACAAATCAAGCAAACTGCCTCACCGAAGGATAGGTGACGATCGAATCACCTCCCTCAGGAGAAATCTAATAAGAGTGGAGGAATTCGCTCATTTAAAAAAGAGTAAAACACGAAGAAGATTCATTACAGCATCTTCTTCTTCATAGCCGACTAATAATATTAAACTGGACTTAATAACAATCTCAGTCAACCTCGGGGAGGTTAAATTTTAAAACTCGTAAATATCAACCAGAAAACACCGCGAAGTATGGCAGGCGTCTCAGCCTAAGGGTTAAACATGAGTTTTAGAGTCAGAAGGAGACAAGAAAGTCAAATCAGGCGTCCTAGATCCAACACCCAGCAGGGCACCAAATTTCGAAAAACCGATTAGGGGCAAGCTAAGATTAATACCAAGACAAGTAGAACAATGGGACCGTAAGGAAATCCTGAAGAGGCTTAAGGAAATCGAATGATAGAGGAAACGGAAGGCGTACATGGAAAGCAGTCTTAAGGAGAATAATCCAAGGAAGTCACGCATACCCCGACTACCAAAGTGACTCGCAGTAGAACGCGGAGTTCCCACCGAGTTAGAGTAGGGTGGGAGGAAGTAGAATACAGCAGATAAGCCACACCAGAAAACTCAGGAACTTAACCGAAACAAATTATAGTCGGATCTCTCCTCCTGACTATAAATTTTCAGGTAGGTTCTAACGAAAACAAATCAAAAAAGGGGCCAGAGTTGCAATGGAGAGCGTAACAACCTGAGTGAAGGAATCAGCGTCTGCCCCATGAAAACGATGGGGGACCTCATAAGGGAGGACTTGTTTCACGTGGAATTCAAGGGAGCAGAAGAAGTAAAGGAATCAAGCAGAAGAGTTGAATCAGAAGTACTGTCAAGCCGCAGCATAGTCTCAGCCATAACGCAAATACGACCCAGCGCTAAGGAAGAAACCAAAGAACAAATCAAGTGATAACAAGCAGTAAAAAAGGAGGCATTGAAATCTGAAGTAAATGAAGAGAAAGCCCCAAAGTAGACGAAGGAGTGTGATCCAGTATGGAAGTACGTACTAGACAAATTCCTGGCAGGATAGCTCTAAGAAACTCTCCGAAAAACCCAAGTCTCTGCTCCCAGGAGGAAAGATAAATCGACTAGCCAATACAAGTCTTGGACGAACCCCCCCCTAACCCAAAAAGGAAACAGAAAGAAACAGGAGGAACAGAGGAACATCCCAACGAGTAAAAGCGTCGTGGCCTTTGCCTCCTCAACCAAAAGACTCAACAATATCAGGGCCCCCCCGCCTTCATAAAAGCGCCATGATCTTGACAAGGCAGATCGCCTAAAAACAACCCAAATATTTCTAACCCGTGACTGAGGGTTCTTGGCCAAGGACCAAATATCCTCAAAGTACAGAGGCGTCCTAGGTCCAAGTCGTAGTAGGAGTAGTGTGCTCCCAAAAACAACAGACAATAACTATAATCTGACATGCATCTCTCCCTGACCCAAAGAATCATGGCCAGTCATCCCCAAAGGGTAAATGAAGAAGAAGAGGAGAATGAGAGCCAAATAAACCCCCCAGGACTAATTTCTACTCAAGGAAGCAAAGGGGGAATTCCAGAACATTCCTAGGAAGTTATCCAGTGGCCTAAAACCAAAAAGCGTACTATATCGCGTCAACCACCTCTCTATATCAAATACTCTTATCGATCCAACACGCAGGGGGATGGACATCACTAGATCTGACAGCCAAAAAATCAGATAGAGTTAAACTCACGAAGGCCCTGGCACAAAGGCACAAGGTCACCCCCAAAAATAGCGACTGAGGCACGGATAACAAAGGAACTCAATGACTCCATACAGGCCCTTAGGGGGTAAAGAGAAGGAACTGAATCTTTGGGATTTAGAAGGTGTCGGAGAGATGTTGACCAGCAACCTATCGAGAAAGAGGAAAATATATAGAATGAATAAAATGAAAGGGAGAAAAAGTAAACAAAATATGGCAAGGTAACAATTCATGAGTGGAGTTGAGACGTAATATCCCATGTCAGCTTAACAACAAGCTTTAATTAGTAGAAGAGAAGGATTATCTTCGTCAGAAATGACTTCTCAGCAATGGACCCTCCAGCAACTCAAAACCAAAGAAGGAATCATTTCCAAGACATCACTTCCTCAAAGTTCTGGGGCATGACAGACTGCTTATCATTTTAGGTCTGTTCAGTAAACAATCAGGCCTAAAGAACGAGTTCATGTTCTCGTATTTCTCTCTAGAGTCAAGAGTCAAGCATAGGGGTTCCTTAAGGAAGTCCGCCCACAGGGAAAGAATGATCCTCCTTGACAGGTAATGAGTTAATTTTGAATTCGTCCCCCGAAATAGGAGTCAGCAACACAGGTTCTAGTCCTAGGATGCAGGAAAACACACCTGAGAGGGGCCATAGGTTATCCCAGGCGTTTTAGTTGAAGTATTTTCCGCCAGAAGCAAGAAACCCAGAGCAATATATGCAGCCAAGTTGAAGAAAATATATTTGGGACAGATTAGGGAAAAAGAAATGAGATGTAACGATAGGGGGAGAACGCAGTTAAGATATAGATATCTAACATGTATTTAAAATCGCCAAAATTGCGGGAGATAGGAGTTGAATTCTTCAAGTAATACAACCGAGTTTATAAGATAAAACCAGATAGATGATCTACACGAAGGGGTGAGGAAAGAAAAATTGTATTCGAAAAGGATGAGCAGGGAAGCCAGGAGATATTCCCAAAGAACTCAACTGTAGGGGTAAGTCGCCAAAGTCTATGGCTCCAGAACGGCTATTATCATGGGTAGTCCAAAAGCTCAAAGGATACAAATCACTCTGAGTAGAAACCGGGACCTAAACTCCCGAGTCTAATTATAGTTCGGTATAGGAGTTCGGACGCCCAAGCCTCTCCAGAAGGGATTATATCACGAACCGACTTAGAGGATCAGTCCGTGAGGAGATGAGGAATACCCCCGAAGAATCCAGGAGATAAGGGGGGGTATTAGCATACCGAATCTGCAAAGCTAAGTGGGGGGGAACAGGCTTGATCTATCAGCAAGGCTTCCCTTCCCAAAATAGGTTAGGAGAAGCAGGTAGAGGCAAGAGGAGATGAGTATGGAGATCAATCCCGGGTGCCTTCCCGGAGGGTAGGCCGAAGCCGCTTAATGTGAAATGAAAAATAAGATTTGAGAAGAGGTCAGAAGAGCAACGTTCCAAGCGTGAATCGAGTCGAGGGATAAGGGAATGTTTGGGGCTAAGAGCCCAGATTAAGAATAGGAAGTTCCAGTAAAAGTAAAGCTAGAAATGGACCACACTCAACAGAAAGGGACGCGGAAAATCGAAGCAGCCTGATAGAGGGATCCGCCTGTAGCCGAGTTATTATCTGTAGGGATTCAGGTGGACATAGAATGGCCGGAAGTAGAAATAGGAAAAACAAACCCCCAAAATTTCAAGAGGCGTCTGGGTTTCCGCTTGCCTAGTGAAGAATCAGCAAGAATTAACCTCACCTAAGAGGGGGAAGGATTAGCTTCCCCACCAGGAAAATCCGAGGATTCATAGAAATAGAGTAATGCATTCCTCAGGCTTAATGTCAGGATATATATAGGAAGGCAGAGTCTGAGTGAACTTGGCTAAGTAGAAGATCCCACAGACGTAAACACCCGATCGCGGAGCCATATCAAGAATGGACAGCCAGAACTTTCTTTCCGAAAGTCGGCCAATCTAGACAAGGCATGAGAGTCTCTAAGAGAGTTTGAATAAAGAAGAAGAATTACCAATGTCCAAATCAAGGGTGCTCAAGCCCCAATGACACAGCTTTGGGTTAGAACCAGATGCCAGAAGAAAATCAGAAGAAGGAGTAGGTATAAGGTCACCCGAAAAATTTCTTGCTATCAGTTAAGTTTCACTAAGAAATTGTGCAAGAGGGGGAGTTCATAGGATGTGAATCAGGAATTCAGGACCTTAACCGAGTAACTGGTCAGTAGTAGTCTAAGCATCTACAACACAATGACAAGTACTGTCCCACACCAAGGAGCTTAGAATATTAGGCGACGAGTGGAGGAGTATTAATTGGGAGGCCGTAGGATAATTAGCTAACAAGAAAGAGGCCTTTGATTAAAAGGGAGAGCCAACAACAGGGAAATAACCTCAACACCGAACAAAAATTCTCTCTTCCCGGGGTTCCTGATTCTCTCTCCCTGAGTTAGAATACGTCCAGACAGTTCCTATCCTTGAGATCATTACAGGGAAGGGAAACTTAAGAGTTTCTCCAAAGGAGTCTCTTAATAGGAGGAACCGGAGGATCAGAATACCCCCCAGGAACAAACCAGCGATGGAAAAGGGAGATGGGAGAGACATACTGGAATAATAGTGTCTTCTCCCCAGGGAGAATCAGGCGTATCCATGGCACCAGCTTGTCGAGGTTTAGAGTGAAGGCTAGGTCGTCCCCAATCCATTCCACCTACAGGCCATGGAAAGGCAACGGCCTTTTAGATTCAGAGCAGGTCAATTACAGTACGGAGGAAGTATTTTTCGAGAGTTCACCACCGCATCTGTTGAGGACAAGAGGAAGATGATGTGATATATACAAACATGGCGAATTTTTTCTCATATGTGGATTATATAGATGGAATAAGACGAAGTGTCAAGCAGACAAATCCGTGTGGGAAACGGGATACTTTGAACTGGACACTATGTGATATAACAGGGGAGCCCAAGGAGGATACGAAACCATACGACTCGGAGCATATAATAGTGAAAGAGTACGGAGCAGGAGCACTGGGACAATTTCTAAGTAAGGCTAGAGATTTTTGTCTTGGATTCGAAGTTTGGACAGCGGAGTTTACCGTAAAGGAGCAGGGGGAAAAGTATCTCCTCACCCAAGGGAATTGTACTGCTGATGCTTCCAATTTCGGCTATGGCACAAACAGAACTGGGAGGTCCTGTAGTAAAACGACGCGCGAGTTGAAGTGGGGTTCCTGGACGAAGAAGTCCCCAGAGACATGGAGAGGCAATCCTGAGTTGAATCTGAGGGTCTGTATGGATATAGTCCAGATGATAATTTATTCCTTTGGCATTAATGGCGTTGAAAATGGAGCACCCAAGTTCCTCAGGAGGGAAGACGGATGTGGGGAATTATCACGGATGTTAGCGGAATGGTCAAATGAATCCCTTCGTGATAGGATTATGGGAGAGTGGTTCAGTAATAATAATAAAGGATCATGGTCCTATCAAAACTATATCCTGAGTGGAATTGATTTCTTTGAGTTTCTGCAGGAGCTCATTGTGGGGAATGATAAGGCAGATAAGTCAATCGGATGTCGAAAAGCGACTCCCTCGGAACTAAGGAACGGGGCTTGTAGACACGGATGGTGTCCTGAGGAGCTGGCAAGTGTTCCTATACCGGTTGAGAATTCCGGAAGGGGCGTTTCGCAGGTTGGAGGGGAGACTGATCTGCAGAAGTCACTCCATCAGCCGACAGGTGCACATACGGAACCTTTCAGAGCGCAAGATTCCGGAGGTTCTGGCGAGGCGGGTGTAGATGCCACGCTGAGGCACCTCATGGATGAGGGAACCCAACCAGCGAATGGGGGCGGGAGCCCGGTAAAACGGGGGGCGGACGGGATGGAAACTTCGGAGGGGAGCTCTGGATTGGGGGGACTGATTGGAGGGGTTTTCTCGTCACTGATATTGGGGATGATTGCTGTTTATGGCATCTCAAGGATATTGAGAAGGGGAGGACGGAGATCGAAGAAATGGAGGGAGGAAGGGGAGAATCCGAGGAATATGTTCGTCTCCTTGACGACCAAATAGGGAGGAGCAGGGATTTGTCACGTGGGTCGGTAGGATTAGTTCCTGGAGGCGAGTTATGATTTGATGCTTGACTTTCGGATCATGTATTAGGGTTACGGTTTCAAGTGTTGGGTTTACGATTCGGTTTAGGGTGTGACGATTCAGGGTTCGGGGTTTAGGTCTTCAAAGTCTAGGGATC